ATTTTACATTTAGATATTAATATCATTTAAAAGTTTAAGATAAAATATTTATTTTAAAAATTAATAGATCTGTATCTTATTATAATTAAAAGTTAAAAAATATCTGAATATTTTATCCTAAAAAGAAAATGAATATTGAAAACACAGTCTTGTACAAACAAAAATGAAGAGGGTTGAAACATCTTCACTATCCTCTAGACAATGTTGATTAATTCCGTTCTAAATCCAGCACAACCAGCTAGTGGAATTTCCAAAGTCCCTAGCTCTCCTGCTTGCTTGCACTAGCAAAAAGGATAATAAATATGTTCAAGTGCAACCATATATATTGTGATAGTCTTGGAAATTAAAATGGGTAATGAAATTGGTGGTTTTTATCTTTTCTTGATATGAAACAAATCTAATTTAATCTAACCTAATATCAAGCATCATCCCCAGCCTGCCTTGTTTCCAAAGTTATACCTGAACAATGAAGAATGTAGTAACATCAATTTCAACAACAAGAGTTTTAAGTAGTCTTGCTTTGAACAATTCTATTAAGATATTTTATTGAAATTAATCTCCAATGCATACCTTTTGCGAGTCTAGTTTGGTCACCATGAATAAGTAATACGTTTAGGCTTACTCAAATTAATCAAGTTTTAAGTTTTAATTATTTCTAAATAAGTTGGATTTTGAATTTTTTTTAGTAACATTTTAAGTCAAATATTTTCTTATTGGGTTTGATTTTCTTTGGTTTTTTTTTTGTGATTAAATGTGTACTACAAAATAATATAATTGGTAAAAAAAATTACTTCAAAATTTGGTTTATTAAAAAATTAATGTTTTTGATCAAATTCAATTTTTCAAAAGAGTGAAAATTTAAACTCAACTCTTTTTAAATAAGATATACACATATGTGTCATTGAATTAAATGTGAAATTTAGTGGATTTTGTTTGCATATTAGTAATTAGGGGTGGCAGTGCAACGAGACGAGATTGATGTTAAATTTTGCCACTATTCTACCTCCATGAGTTTTCCTAGTATCTATATCTGGTCCTCTTGCCCCATCAATAATATATATTGTTATAAAAATCATTTTAATTAAATGGTTAAAGAAAGAAATCATGTAATTAATGTGCTTTCATCTTATTATTAATAATAATATATTTTTATAAATCTGACATGTCAATTAACATTATAATACATAATCACAATAATTTAAAATAAAATAAAAGCATTTAATATAAATCTTGATATCTCAACCTTAATATAAGTTTCAAAGAATTTATAAAATAAAGTAGTAATCTTAACCATAAAAAGTTTCAATTTTCAAATTTGACATAAAAATATTTAAATGTAATTAAAAAATCTAAATATATATCTATAATTAAGCGTGATCAATAGGTGGATTGAGTGGTTTGGTCCATCATACTTAAAGATCAAATAGACCAATCATTTTTAAAAAACGATCAAAATCGATCAAATATAAAAAAAAATCAAACTAATCAAATATAGAATTGGTTTTGTTGGTCCGATTTTGGACCAATGAATCAAAATTTATCATTATTTTTTTACAAATTATATTATTAAAACTTATAAACTTCATTTATAATTATATATATATGAAATTAATTATATAACTTATATGCTATAATGTTTTATATTAAAGTTTGTGTAAATAATAACTAATTATAAACAATATGTTATAAAATTTAAGATAATAGGAAATGAACATATTAAGTGTAATCGTATAAATAAAATTTATTATAAGTTGTAGTAATGCTTGTGTATAAATTAAATATATGTATATATAATATATTATTTTATTATATATATAATTAATGATATAAATTATAAGTAAAATGTTTTATATCAAAGTTTGTATAGATAATAACTAATTATACATAATATGTTATAAAATTTAAGGTGATAACTAATAAACTAATTAAATCCAATAATTTTACTAAAATTATATTTAATATAAATAAATAATTAATCTGAATTAATTTTAGTCACCTCTATCTATAATTGTTCCGCCTGCTTATTAAATAAAAAAAATCACCCTACTCCCAATTTTC